TGTTTCGTACATGAACAACTAACGAGAATAGGACATTTGTGAGATGGCACACAAATCCAGCCACCTAAAGTGAAGACTGATTTTTTTTTCTTTAACCAGTTGCTGGACTCAGACTGATTTTTTTTCTTTAACCAGATGCTGGACTATAATAGAGGCAAAAGTGGGCAAAGACTCTGTGTCAATCCCATAGTTCTGTAGAATGGGCCTAACTGAACTTACCCAGGAATTTCAAGAAGGACTGTGGAGTTGTTCTTTGTAGCACTTCTTTGGGAATTGCATTGAGAACCTTAGTTTAGTGTTTGATCACCTCTGCACAGACCATTTTTTTTAAATATAAGAAAAAAAGATCACCAGGTGGATGGTATCCAGGAAAGGGGATCTGTGGGTGTGTATCTTATTACATTGGATTGAGGGCCAACATGACATTGGCACCAAAACAGTCCAAGGTCTTTGTGTAGTCATCTAAACTGAGTAGAACCTAAAAGCTGCAGCAGAGTCCAGATATTAGAATACAAGTCTGAGCCACTTCCCTCAGATTTGAGCCTAGTGGTTTGCATTGCTAAAAATAATAAATAGTACTGTGTATGTGCTGGCCTCTTTCCTTTCTGTGTATTGACCATAGTTCTGCATGTTACTTTATGCTTTGTTAGGTTCTCTTGCTTTACCTGTAATGGGAAGGGAACCCTTGCTGTATAAAAGGAGGACTTTGAAATTTTTGAAGGTTCCATGCAGAAACCTCTTTAGTGGTGTCTTCACCCTAGATTTGATGAATTACTCAGTTTTATCTTGGGTGCTTCTGTCACGTATAGGAAATTACAAAATGCTTTTTACTCATATTATGTCTTGTATTATTCCACTTCTTCCAGGATAACGTTCATTTCTCAACGAAGTGGCATATTAGGTTTCACAAGTGCACAAAGCTGCAAACCAACGTCTGTTGGTGAATGTCAATATTTGACTCTGACCCTTTTAAGAATTGGCCCTGAAAGTTGTCCTGCTCAGCTTAATCAAAATTCTGTCTTACCAAATCCTGCCATTGGGTTAATAAGTGGCAGCTTGGGAAGGGCGAAACGGGACATGCAGCTGACCAGTGCTACTCTGTTCTTCAAAGAATAGGCTTTCTATAGCTCCCTGTAGAAAGATGGACAGATTTCCAGTGTGGATAAATGTGCAAATGTCTGTGTTTAAGCATGGAAAAGCATGAGGAACAAGGTTTCTGCATCTGAAAACTTGTCACCTACCCAATACACCTCTAAATTGCCCATGCAAGTGAAGACAGAAGAAATGGGCAGCACCAGCTCCTTCCCACTCATCGTCCTCCACAAACTGGAGAAAAGCTGCAGTAGAGAGTCTCTTTTGCTCATGCAGATTCCCCATAAGGTTTAGAAGCCTAGCTTTTCAACAGTTCTAAATTGTTTGGGGAGCCTACGTAACGTAGAGCAAGCTCTACGCTTCAGAATGTAACACTCCAACTCATGGGAGGTTATGTGTACAGCAGGAGAAGAGCTGTAGCAGCTATGTGACTCTTGTTTTAACACAAGAATTCCTCATTTTTGTCAGAAAAGGGATCCATTATTCTTTGAATTTAATAACTGTAGTGATGCTTCCCTCCTGTTCCACTTTCAAACATATAATCAGCATTACATACCAGCCACTACTTCCCTGTAGTTCCAAAGAGAGGACTTTATCATTTTTAAAAAACATTTAGCTATCAAGTTGTAAGGCCCTTACTGAAAAAGCCCTCCCTTAACCTTACAGTATTGAACAGGCCAGTCTCTAATATTCCAGTTTTAGTTAAGGCTCTGGAGTGGGTGGTGGCTTACCAGCTGTAGTGATACAGTGGCACCTCGCTTGACGAGGATAATCCGTTCCAGCGAAATTGCTGTAGAACGAAATCCTTGTCAAGCGAAATAAAAAAGCCCATTGAAATGCATTAAAACCCGGTTAATGCGTTCCAAGGGGTGAAATACCTCAGCGTCCAGCAAAGATCCTCCATAGGGCAGCCATTTTCTGCTCCCTGTCTTGCGAAGGATCTGTCCTAAAGCACAGCAGGGAGCCATTTTACACAGCGGGCAGCCATTTTGAAACCCCGACAATCAGCTGTTTTGATTGTCGGGAAGCAAAAAAACCCCACTCAATCATTGGTTTGCGATTGTAATCGCAAAAAACTAGTCATCAAGTGATTTCCTCGTCTAACGAGGTAATCGTCAAGTGGGGCACCACTGTACTTAGATTATGTGGATTATCTAGATCCATTTCAAACTGGCTTCAGGCCTTGTTACAGTGTAAGACTGCTTTTGTCGCTTTGCTATATGACCTACACCGGGAACTGGATAGGGGGAGTATGTCCCTGTTGGTTCTGCTGGACCTCTCTGTGGCTTTCAATACTATTGACTATTATATCCTTCTGTGCTGCCTGTATCGGATAGGATGGGATTGGGGTGCACTGTGTTGGCAGTGGCTCCAGTCCTCCTTGAAGGAGTGAATCCTGAAGGTGGTGCTAGGGGGATTTCTGTTTGACACCTTCGCTGTTGACATCCAGAGTTCGGTTTTATCCGCTGTGCTGTTTAACATCTACACGAAACTGCTAATTCCAAGGAATGTCTCTGTCCGGAATCAATGCCTGGAGTCAGCAATAGACTGCATGAGAATGAACAAATTGAATCTTAAACCAGGCTTAATCCCACTCCTTCCCACCCAGGGAGTTTTGACACTGCCTTTTTGTAACCTTTAGTGCACCTTTGTTTCTGTTGTGTAGAAGGAATATATGCTTCACTGCTTGAAGCATTCCCACCATGGATTTGATCTGGTTAGACTTTGGGCTTTGTCCAAATCCAGCTAAAAAGGACTATGAAAATCTGTGGTGGTGTTTCATTGTAGAGGAAAAAGTGCAAGAATTATTAGTTTATACTCCCAGACTGGCTTAAATTAATGTCTGGTTTTAAAGAAACTGGCAATTATTTATTTGAATCTATTCCAGGTGAGTGTGGGTTGCTTTGCTCATTCATACATAGAGGTTTGGTAGACATACACAGCATTCCTAGCAGAGATGCTGTTCAGCTGTTGCTGCCATGCCCAGTTATGGTCCTGGCTGTAGGAATAATTCATTGTCAAAAGTATTTTTAAGGAGGTCAAGTAATGGTGTGATAATATGTTTAAAAAGTTCCTTTGTTTTCCATGACAAAGGAGCAGGGTTGTGTTCAAGCAATCTTTTGCGGTGTTTCCTTTTCACTCCAATCCTGAATGATTACACAAGTAGCCATGGTGTCATTCTAAAGCTAAAATCTGGGGTTTGTTAGCTCGATGGAGTGATCCTCTAGTAGGCTATGAAATGCAGAAAATATCTAAAGTCATAAATACGGTGAAAGATCTAAACTATTTACCTACCACAACAGCTTATATTTGGACTGAAACTTTTCTTTGCTCTAACGGAACTTTTGATCCGTATATTATTTTTTCAATAATTTAACCACAGCATGTCCAATACGGCGAGTCTGAAATAGCCACCTAATTCTCCCCCCAAATGTGGCTATGTCTGTTTTTTTGTTGCTGTTGTGTTTTTATTGTTTTGGTAAGCTTGGACTGTAGGCATCAGCACGGAAACTATAAACACTTCCTGTTATTGCAGCCTACAGTTATTTCATTATTTCTATAATCAGGTGCAGTTTTTGCTCCACGTGATTTTTGAGGCATGTGGTAGACACAAGGAATGGTTTATTGCTGCCATCTCCCAGTCAGTTCCTATGGATGAGTAGAGATTTGAACCCAGATTTCCTGGGTCCCAGAACATCACTGTATCCCCAACACCCTACTGGAACTCCCAGATGCATTGCAGGCAGTTTATCCTTGGGGAAAAGAGTCACAAAAATATTGAAAGTTTCAGGGAAAGCATATAGAAACTGATTCCTGTTCAGGCTGTCCACCAATTTCATGTAGTTAGGTAAAGGTAAAGGTTCCCCTTGACAATTTTTGTCCAGTCGTGTTCGACTCTAGGGGGCGGTGCTCATCCCTGTTTCCAAGCCATAGAGCCAGCGTTTTGGCCGAAGACAATCTTCCGTGGTCACATGGCCAGTGCGACTTAGACACGGAATGCTGTTACCTTCCCACCGAGGTGGTCCCTATTTATCTACTTGCATTTACATGCTTTCGAACCGCTAGGTTGGCGGGAGCTGGGACAAGCGACGGG